AACCACGCTGGGTAATAACCACACTGGCTAATAACCACGCTGGGTAATAGCCACACTGGCTAATAACCACGCTGGGTAATAGCCACGCTGGTTAATAACCACGCTGGGTAATAACCACGCTGGGTAATAGCCACACTGGCTAATAGCCACACTGGCTAATAACCACACTGGGTAATAACCACACTGGCTAATAACCACACTGGCTAATAACCATGCTGGGTAATAGCCACACTGGCTAATAACCATGCTGGGTAATAACCACACTGGGTAATAACCACGCTGGCTAATAACCACGCTGGCTAATAACCACGCTGGGTATTAACCACGCTGGCTAATAACCACGCTGGCTAATAACCACGCTGGGTAATAACCACGCTGGGTAATAACTACGCTGGCTAATAACCATGCTGGCTAATAACCACGCTGACTAACAACTTAGCAGGATGTTTTGTCAAACGTTAATGAAGAGGTAGCGCTATCTAATCGTTGATCTGTTTGTGTGTCTTTTTTGATAGAATTTGGGGTTTATATGGTGCTTTTCTGCAACTTGCTAGCTAACCAGCTATTTAGTTGTCCGTGTTCGCATACACGAGTTGTTTTCACTTTTTCAGGGACCAGATCAGCGCTTGAAGCTTTTATTAAAGCTCGTATAGAGAAAGAGAGGCTGTTCACAGGGGAGAAAACTCTGCATTGTCAGCTTGGAAGTAAGAAAGTTAGGGTGTTGGTTCACCAGTTTGATCAGGGGTGTCCAAACTTATCCGCAAAGGGTGGCTCTAGGTTAACTGACTGCAGGTTTTCATTGCAAACGTGTAGGAGCTCACCTGATTCCCCTTAATTAGGGCAAACAAATAAACCATGAAAACCTACAGCATCGACTCTGCGGAAACGATTGGACATGAATGAGTTGGGCCTGCATGTTTTTAACTTAACAGTATGTAAAAGTAAGTGATTTGCTTGTGTGCTAATGCATCTTCCTAAACTGGTTAAAATTTTAGTTGGAAAATGTTGAATCTTTTAATTTATTTACCTAGTCTCAAAAAATAAAAGTCCTAATTTGATTTTGTTTGCTTGTTGATAGGACTATCCTTGTGGAACTGGGGCTACAATATAAAGTGACTCCTCAACAAGCCCGAAAAAAATGGGACAATTTAAAGAAGAAATACAAGGTAAGTTCTAAGACAGAGTTGCAGTACATTATTTGAAAGACTAAGGATTTATCTATTTCAAACCTAATTCAAATATTAAAGTATTCTTAAGTATAATTCAGCCAGGCAAAAGATAGCAAAGTGAGGTTAGATTACAGGTTTGCTTTTATTTTAGGAGCTGAAGTGTCCACCATCTGGAAGTGGGACAGACAATGGGGAAGCCACTGCAGCCACTTGGCCCTGGTTCAGCTTCATGGACGAGGCTCTTGGTAACCGGCCCTCGATTTCACCACCTCTGCTAATAGCCTCATCAGATGAGGCGGACCCAGGGCCATCTTCTGCTGTGGCTTCCCCGTTGTCTGAGGAAAGACCAAGGAAGAGGCAAGGAACCCTAATCGACCTCTTGCGAGAGGACATGGAGAGGGAGAGGGAAAGAGAAGAGAGGAGAGAGCGAGCGGAGCAGGAGCGGTCTGACTGCTTGTACAGCCTTCTTGAGAAACTTATTAGCAAGACTAACTAATGCATTTTAAAAATAAAGCTTATTTTATGGAATAATTCTGGATTTTGAATTTTTTTTTAGATGTTTTATTGTTAATCTTGAAATGCAGTAAACTAATCATAACAGGCTTTCTCTTTGGATGAATTAAGTTATTCTTCATTGATGACCCCACTAGAAACCCAGTGTATCCTTAGGAATGCTTCATGCTATACCTTTCACAAATTTAAACTTGTAGACTGTTCAATCATTAAGGTCAGTTCTTTATTTTATAATATTGTGACGTTTTCCTTTAATGAAGTTCATTCTTGTTGTAAAATCACTTGGAACTGTTTTTACAGTGTAATCACAATAACAAAACAATATTTTAATTTTAATCTTAAATAAATAAGAATAAATAAATAAGAAACTATAATGAATTAATAACAGAATTATCCTAAAGCTTTCTTATTTTGAGATTGAAAAACACTTAACTTGTCTGTACACATTTTACGTTTTAAGCGATTTTAGCATAGTGCCAAAAAATTAACACTTCGACTACACATAAACCGCCTAACAAGTAAAAATGTATAGAATATTATTTACCTTCTAACAACAATCAAGACTAGAATCATACATTTAGACTAGATTTAAGATGTCACTTTCAAAGATATTTTTCTCAGTGCCGATATAACATTTAAAAATGTGAATTAACTAATTAAACTCTTTCAGTTCCTGGACCATCAGTGCATGTCAGCGATGGCAGATGCTCCCGTAGGGGATGCTCCCGTAGACGATGACCACTGACTGCATCTGTGACATCTTCCTCCTGCCCATCCCCTTCCTCCTCTCCATCTGCTTCCTCCTCAGGCTGAACAAGGTCTCCTGCTCCCATGCAGATGATGTGCAGGGTGACACAGGATACAATCACTTGTGGCACAAACTGCGGGTGTACCTCGAGGACATGCAGGAAGATGGACCTCCACCTGGTCTTCAGCATCCCAAAGGCACGTTCAATTACAGAACGTGCTTTTGCATGATGCCTGATGAAGGTTACCCGCTCTTCCCCTCTTACAGGCTTTTTAAAAGGAGTGATGAGGGCAATGGGATGTGCGATGCAGGGATATCCCCCATCACCAAGGATCATGAGGCCTCTGGGTGGGAATGCTGCCTGCTGGTAGAGAGTACTGTGTCGAAGGACCCTTGCAACATGCACAGATCCAGGGAAGCCTATAAAAACATCCAGAAACTTTGCCTGATGATCGCATACGGCCTGCATTTGCACAGATGGGTAAAGCTTCCGGTTTCGATAGCACTGTGTATCAGGTTGTCCTGGTGCTTTAATTCGTACATGGCAGCCGTCTATAGCGCCGACTACACATCGGAAAGCTGCATGATTTCCCAGCCTCGCAAAACCTTGTGAGATCCTCTGTAATTCTTAATTTTTTGGATGCTGAACCACTTTTGGGAGAATTTGCCTCATTTCATTGGCCACCCGGTGAATTACACGATGGATAGTGGAACGGGGCATTGAAAACGCACGAGACACAACACGGTAGGATGTGCCACAAGCCAGCCAAAACAAGAATACTGCTATTTCAATGCTTGACCCCCAGCCATGAGTGCTCTCGTGGTGGACCAGCTGATGAAGTACCTTCAGGGATTCTCTCTTGAGCTGGAAGTCAGGCCTGGTGTCTTGTGTCTCGTCAAAATAGACCCGCAGTAGAGGTACACTGACATTCAGGGTGCAGTATTTATTTGGTCTTTCTCCCTACAAGAAAAACATATGAAAAAAATGTCTGTGTGTCTTTAAAATGCTCTATAGAATGTCTGTTGTTGTCATTAATATATGGTAAGTGGAGGTGATAAAATGGATAAGGAGTGCAGAAACGGGGGGTATACTGAACCTACGAATATGTAAGTTTATTTTAAATTGATAAATTACTTCAGTATTATTAGTGTAACGATGAATTACTGTACAGAGTTGCATAAATTGATTGCTAGTGAATCTGTATTTACATGTATATTTATTAAACTGTATAATTATGTATATCTGTTTTGTTTGGTTAATGCAGGTTATGTGTGGTGTATGTAGTTTTTAATTTGATGTATGCATTAATAATGTGTATGCCCTATCTAAATATTCAAAACAAATAAAATGGTATAATAATAATGATGATGATGATGATAATGATGATACTTTTAGTGGCAGATAGCTGTATAATGAACCTTGTAAGGTGTGGAGACCCCCTCAGAGTGTTTAGAGGAAAGTTAACCTCAGAGAAACTTTGTAAATCTTACCTGTTCAAGAGCAGCAAGTAGCGCTCGTCTTCTTAAATTTCGCCGTCTGACCACAGCGCGTCGAAACTCCTGTCTATTCTGCTGTTCCTCGAGAGCAAACACGATTAAAATCGCAGTAAAAACCGCTAGAGCAGGATCCATGGTGGTAAAACGCTGAGGCGATTGTGACAGCTGAGGTAAGTAAACGCCGGTCTTGTGCAGTGGGCGGGAACCAGCGGCGACGTCATAGCTGCCTAACTAGAGCGTCTCATTTATCTGTCTTATAAGGATGGATGACAGTTGGAACGCTGCCTACTTAGACAGCTGCCTATGTAGACAGCGGCTACTTAGAGAGCTCACTAGGTTTTGGGACACACCCAATGTAACTCGAGTACTCGCCTCTGCTATGTTCAGTAAAAGGCTGCACAATGGAATAATTTACACACACACATCTTCTAAGCTGCTTATCCTTCTGGGTACAACGGAATAACTTATTAGATCAATTTCTTCAGCAACTGTGAATGCTGGGATAATTCACAAACTCATTTATCAGATTCTGCAGTAGTAATGACTGCAATGCTTTGTTTTTGAGAGACCTCTCTGTATGCCTTCCCAGTGTTTAGCTTTATCATGAAAGATATTCACTTCCCTTTTCCATTTCCTAATTCAGATTTCATCTTGACTAGAACATAATGCAAGAAAAAATCTTTCAGGTGATTTTCATAACTAGATAATTGACCACTCTGACTGCGGTCTAAACTTTTGCACACAATGTTGTCTATAATGGGTGGGTCAAGGTGCTGCTGCTCTGTGTCTGTATTTCTTACGTGTTGGTATATCAGGACTGTGGATGAATGGAAAAAGTCCTTCCTTGGAACACGTCGTAAAATATCAACAGCTTTTTGTGTTTCAACTACCTGGAGTTTGGGGTCCAGGTTCTGCCCACCAAATGTACTTACAACACTGCTACTAGACAGTTCAAAGTGTTTTAGATACTGTGAGGGAAAACGCACAAACTCATCTCAGCCTTTAGAATGTTATATAATGACAGAATATTATAAACCTGTGGATCTTATTTACTCAGAGACACATAGAGTTTGAAAGAAAAGCTTTATTCAAAAAAATAGTGACAACATAAGTGCTACACACGTCAAGTACTTTCAAAAGCTCAACACAGCAAACTTCTTCACTGCACAATGCTATCATATCAATTTGCAATCTACAACTTACTGTCTGCTCATCCTCTTCCTCATTCCTTCAGTGTGGGCTTTCCTAAGTGAGTGTGTATCAGTGCAGTGTGGTCATACACTGCACTGATACACACTCACTTAGGAAAGCCCACACTGAAGGAGCAGTCCAACAAACAACACAGTCTAATCATTTTTAAATATCATAATCAACAAACCAGGCACAAAATCACCTGCACTGTCACTGCAAAACAGATGGATTAGTGAGGAAATGTCATTTCACAGGCAAATGAATTGGTAGAATGGCACTTAGTCATCCAGTACACACCACTACACGTTCTTCATAATTGTGAAATATACTAATGTGAACTTTCAGGTGTCAAAGACCTGCAAATATAATTTTGTACTGAATTATTTAATGGTAAGTCTGATATTTAAACTTTCTAATGTTTCTTTGCTAATGTAGTGGAACTGGCTTTACTTGATATTATTTATTTAAACTTAAATAAATGTGGAAAAAAAATATATATATATATATATATATATATATATATTTTTTTTTTTCCATAAATGCAATAATTTAGCTAAATATCATATCACATGACAGTAATACTTTAGTATTTTTAGTAAATACAATATTTACTTTCTTAACACTGCACATCTTTCAGCTATGCTTCTTGCAAGCATTCTGGATTTTTTTATTGCATGTTTCTCCTTTATTTTATTATCTGTAGTGTTGTATCTTATTTGTTCTCTATGTCCCAAATGTAGTATGAACGCTGCCGTATCTCATTTGGCATAGAAAAAGATTTATGTCAGCACTGATGAAAACCCATATCAGAAAAAAACTACCATTTTCCTTCACAGTTACACGTAAAAAATACTCCCACCATCAATATTTGAAAGACAATTCAAGTTAATTTAGCTTTACTGAAATTAGCTTATCTAGAAATTAGCTTATCTAGAATCTAGAAATTCTACACAAGTAAAAATGAATAAAAGCATAAGTAGATTAAAAAAATCACTTCACATATTCGGACTCTATTAAACCAATACAAACAGCTACAAATAAGTACACAGTTGAGTACTGCAATATATGAGTCATGCTAATGAACTGCATATTAAATATGAAGGTACACAACACATGCACGACCACAATCACTGAAAACAATAAAACATTCTGACCTAAAATTTAGTATCCAGGAAGGCAAAAAGTAGGAAATATCCAGCTGACCACCATAAAAACAAGGACTTTGAAGGAATCTAACAAGCTAAATTAAAATGAACGCATTTCATTTTAACTCATGTTTCCTGATTTGTCTTTTGTGATACACTCAGGCTTTTATGCTTAAAATGAACACATTGCTAGTCAACATGTCTGGTTACTGCCACTCTTTCACACCTTGACCAGAGGTTCTGCTTAAAATACTTATAGTGCCTAGTTGCTGTTGTGTATATCATTCATAGTTTAGTAGTGCAAGGTTGAGTACTCTTGTCCAATATATATTAAATATGAAGCTACACAACACACATGACCCCAATCACTGAAAACACTGAAACATTCTGACCTATATTTAGTATCAAGGATTGCAAGAAAGTATGGAATATCCAGCTGACCACAATAAAAACCAATTCTGACTGGGATTTGATCTAAATTGAATTTAAATGAATGCATCAGAATTTCCTCCCATTTTAACGTATGTTTCCTGGCCTTTCTATTGTAATACTTCTATGTTTATTTGCTTATAATGAACATGCTATCCCCACTGATGTCAATCGGAACCTTTTTAACATCTCCATTATCTGGAAAAGAACAGAAAAGGAGAAGATTAAGAAAACACACTGAAAAACACCTCAATTTTAAAAAGAATGCTTTAAATCTTGCATTGTGTTTTGCAATGTTGGAAGTTTCAGTCAGAAGAGAAGCCTTTTTACTGTTTAGCAATGAGCTGAAGATTTGTGTTTCAGTTTAAACATAAATTCTCTGTTAGATTGAAAATAAGATGTCTCCTTCAGTATATTTGAATTTTAAAACACCAAATACAATCCCATGTTTATGTAATTTTTTCAAAGATGAGGTTTAATCTGCTTCCAGTAAACCAGGCCTAAACATTTCATCATGAACTCGTGGGCTCCATGAACCATGATAACAATGGAGTTGTTACAGATGGATCAGCATATAAACTAAGTCACGTGTACAATCAAACTTGTTAACTGCAAGCCTGTGTATTAATAATGTTATTGTGAATATAAGAATAATTAACCTTCATGAAACACAAACTGCTGTTCAACTCCATTGGTGCCGTTTGCTGTCCGTTTGCAGCAGAAAAGGACAGGACAGATTAACACAGAGATAAGAATACGCACAGGCTGGAGATTTGTGTTGAAGTTAAAAGACAATTATCTTAACAACAGCTGTGGCCATATGTATTACAGAGTCCCCACTAAATGCATACATACACATATTTTTTACATACACGAAAGACACATCTGGTTAGATTATTCTCCAATTTCTCCAGTAATGTCAAAGCAGCCATTGCACATGGTTATGCCCGATCTTTCCACACTCCTATATAGGCTACTGTAAACAATAATGACCAAAAAAGTGATCATATTTAGAAAACTGAACATTTATTTTCAAACTTGAAATGTGATTTTTAATTAACAGTACTCTTGAAGAACAAAATATTAGGGATTCTAGGTTATTGCACAAATATGTCTGTATTTTATTGGTCAAAGAGAAGGTTTCTAATAGACCAACCTGTAGAAGCTTGAATATACGCCCCACTCTTACTTTTCTCACCTGTTAAATAAAAATGATCAAATTAATGCACACTTACATTTATGTACATTCTTTCTATGATGACCAAAAGAAAATTGTAAACATGAAATATATCCACACTATGCAATAAGCAGGGCATGAGCACTCTGCAGATAGAGAGCTGGCTGGATTTCTTTAACCCCTAGCAGCACTAATGTACAGTTGATCAGTTTATGTGTTTTGAGAGAATGTCTGAGAGATTATCAGCTTCACAGACAACAGTTTCTTTACTAAGATATGGCTGATAATTAACTTATACATATGTATATGATAGTTTCCCCACTAGTTGTTGAGCTAGGTGTCTTAGAGCATACTGTATGTATTCACCATTTCTACCTTAGTCACATTAGCTAAAATAAAACAAAGGAATAATGTAATGCAAGTATGCAGGTGTACTCACAGATTTTTCCTCTCTTTTTAAGAACAACGATGACAGCGACCAGGACCGCCACAAGCCCTGCAAGTAGAGCTCCAAGAATGAAACTCACAATGTTCCCCGTTGTACAGTCATAGCACTTTCCATCTTGAAAGGAAACAAAAAAGAATGAAAGGAATCCCACTTGAACTGAGCAAGCACTATCAAATAAGTTGACAAAATGTTCATTTTGCATTGTGATTTAGTACAGAACTTATTTTTATGCTAATGTAAAGTAGTGCAGCAATTCTCAGTACTAACCTATGAATGTCAAACAAACAACAAATATAATTACCCCATTGTTTAATTACTGGTTTGTTGAGGGTGATGTGATTCACAAAACAGTCGTAATCTGCTTTTTCATCCTCTTGGATCTCCATACTCTTCCTCAGCTGGTAGGTTCCGTCTTCATTGGGTCTGATTCCTGAAGATGTTAGTAGATGTTCAGGCAGTGAAGTTCTGAACTTCCTCAGACTCACCATCACGTCTTTGGGGTAGAAGCCCGTGGCCAGGCAGGTCAGGGTCAGCTTGGTCGAGTCAGTTGTGCATTTCTTCGCAAACATATGAACATCTGGTGGAGCTAAAGAGAACAGATGAAACCACACATTTAGTTCAAAATAAGTTTTTACCAGATTTTTCTGGTGAGAGCTGACAGGAGCTCCCTCTGTGACATCTAATCACACCAGTCACCATTTCTGTTCAAGCTACCACTCACACAAGTGCTTCAAACAGCAGAATGCATGTGTGGGACAGAAATAGTAACTGAAATAGGAACGGCCATCTTTTTTAAAAGTGAAAGGAGCTTCAACATGTTGGAGCTTATTACTCAATAAATTATAACATATTAATACAGGACTGCTGCTGCTCTTTTATTCAGAGCTAACATGCACTGTAATGGGCATCAGAAATAGCTGGCAAAGAGTAATTATGAACAATTAACATTTGAATTTTCAACATTTATGCTTGTCTTTAGAAAAAGAATATAGCATCATATTTTTGTGCCCTTCCTGGATCGGGGCCTTGTCGTGGCGGAAGGGCTTGTGTGGTCTAGGGATCTTCAGAGCTAAGTCGTCGGGAGCAACATGCTCCTGGTAGGGTCTCCCAGGGCGAACAGGTCTGGAGTGAAGACCCAGACTAACTCGATCCAAAAACCTCCATGAAAAACGGACGCAGAACATCGTGTACCCTGCCCGGGAGAGGGTCACCGGGACCTACCCCTGGAGCCAGGCCTGGGGGTAGCGTCCCTCGGCGAGCGCCTGGTGGCCGGGCAGCCCACGTAACCCGGCCGGGCTCAGCCCGAAGAGGCAACGTGGGGGGACCATGTGGGCCCACCACCCGCAAGGTCCAGCATGGGGGAGCGGTGCAGTGCCGTACAGGCAGTGGGAGATTGCAGGGGGGCCCTTGGTGGCCTAGGCCCCTGCGGCAGAAACTGGCTCTTGGTACGTGGAACGTAACCTCACTGGGGGGGAAGGAGCCGGGGCTTGTGCGGGAGGTCGAGAGGTACCAACTAGATATAGTTGGGCTCACCTCCACCCACAGTATCGGCTCTGGAACCAAACTCCTGGATAGGGGTTGGTCCCTCTCCTACTCCGGGGTTGCACAAGGTGAGAGGCGCCGGGCGGGTGTGGGGATACTCACGAGTCCCCGGCTGGCGGCAGTACAGTTGGAGTTTGTCCCGGTGGACGAGAGGGTCGCCTCAATGCGTATTAAAATCGCAGAGAGGAAAACTCTGACTGTTGTGTGTGCTTATGCACCAAACAACAGGTCGGAGTATTCGGCCTTCTTGGAGCAAGTGGGCGGGGTTCTGGAAAGGGTCCCAACTACAGACTCCATAGTCTTACTGGGAGACTTCAATGCTCATGTTGGCAATGACTGGGAGACCTGGAGAGGCATGATTGGGAAGAACGGCCTGCCCGATCTAAACCCGAATGGTGAATTGTTATTGGACTTCTGTGCCAGGCATGGATTGTCCATAACGAACACCAAGTTCGAACACAAGGATGTTCATAAGTGTACATGGTACCAGAGCTCCTTGGGTCAAAGGTCAATGATCGACTTTGTTGTCGTTTCATCTGACTTGGGACCATATGTTCTGGACACTCGGGTGAACAGAGGTGCTGAGCTGTCAACTGATCACCATCTGGTGGTGAGTTGGATCAGATGGCAGGGAAGACTGAGGGTTAGACCCGGTAGGCCCAAGCGAATAGTGAGGGTGTGCTGGGAACGACTGTCGGAGGCCCCTGTTCGGAATGATTTTAATTCCCACCTCCGGGAGAGCTTTTCTCATGTCCCGGAGGAGGTAGGGGACATAGAGTCTGAATGGACCCTGTTCAAAACCTCCATTGTGGAAGCTGCCAGGCGCAGCTGTGGCCAAAAGCTTGTTGGTGCCTGTCATGGCGGTAACCCAAGAACCCCCTGGTGGACACCGGTGGTGAGGGAGGCCGTCAAGCTGAAGAAAGAGGCCTTTAGGGACTGGATGGCCCGAAGGACTCCCGATTCAGCAGATAGGTACCGACATGCAAAAAAGGTGGCAGCTGCAACGGTGGCAGAAGCAAAATCCAGGGCGTGGGAGGAGTTTGGTGAGGCCATGGAAAAAGACTTTCGGTCGGCCTCGAGGAGGTTCTGGACAACTGTCCGGCGACTCAGGAGTGGTCGGGGTGACTGCGCCCAGGCTGTATTCAGCAGGGGTGGAGAAACTCTGACTTCAAATGAGGATATTGTCGGTCGGTGGAAAGAGCACTTTGAGGAACTCCTTAATCCGGGTGACATGCCTCCCTCACGGGAGTCAGGGCCAGAGGCCTCTGGCGTGTCAAGCTCCATTTCCCTGGTGGAGGTCACTGAGGTAGTTGGCAAGCTCTTTAGTGGCAAGGCACCGGGGGTGGATGAGATTCGTCCGGAGATGCTTAAGGCTCTGGATATTGTGGGGCTGTCGTGGCTGACACGCCTCTGCAATAGTGCATGGACCTCGGGAACAGTACCCTTGGACTGGCAGACCGGGGTGGTGGTCCCTATTTTCAAGAAAGGGGACCGGAGGGTGTGTGCCAACTATCGGGGTATCACACTGCTCAGCCTCCCTGGGAAAGTCTATGCCAAGGTGCTGGAAAGGAGACTTCGACCGATAGTTGAACCTCAGATTGAGGAGGAACAATGCGGATTCCGTCCGGGCCGTGGAACAATGGACCAGCTTTTCACCCTCTCACGGATTGCTGAGGGGGCATGGGAGTTTGCCAACCCAGTCTACATGTGTTTTGTGGATTTGGAGAAGGCTTACGACCGTGTTCCCCGAGATATCTTGTGGGAGGTCCTCCGGGAGTATGGGGTGCCGGGGGTACTACTCCGGGCCATTCAATCTCTGTACACCCGGAGTGAGAGCTGTGTTCGTATACTCGGCATTAAGTCGGACTCTTTCAGTGTTAGCGTTGGACTCCGCCAGGGTTGTGCCCTGTCTCCACTCCTGTTTGTGATATTCATGGACAGGGTGTCAAGGCGTAGCCGGGGTCAGGAGGGCATTATGTGTGGAGGCCGGAGGGTGGCGTCTCTGCTATTTGCAGATGATGTTGTTCTTTTGGCTGGATCACATGGATGCCTCCAGCGCACACTGGAGCGGTTTGCAGCTGAGTGTGAAGCGGTTGGTATGCGGATCAGCACCTCCAAGTCTGAGTCCATGGTCTTAGCCCGGAAAAGGATGGTATGCCCACTCCAGGTAGGGGGAAAGGACTTGCCCCAGGTGGAGGAGTTTAAGTATCTCGGGGTCTTGTTCACGAGTGATGGGAAGAAGGATCGTGAGATCGACCGCAGGCTGGGACAAGCGGCAGCAGTAATGCGGTCGCTGTACCAGACTGTAGTGGTGAAGAGGGAGCTGAGCCGTAAGGCGAAGCTCTCCGTTTACCGATCGGTCTACATCCCGACCCTCACCTATGGTCATGAGCTGTGGGTAATGACCGAAAGAATGAGATCGCGAATACAAGCGGCAGAAATGAGCTTTCTTCGCAGGGTGGCGGGCTACACTCTATTTGATAGGGTGAGGAGCTCGGCCATCCGGGAGGAGCTCGGAGTAGAGCCGCTACTCCTCCGCATTGAGAGGAGCCAGCTGAGGTGGTTCGGGCATCTGATCCGGATGCCCCCGGGACGCCTCCCGGTGGGGGTGTACCAGGCACGGCCTACCGGAATAAGACCCCGGGGTCGTCCTAGGACCCGCTGGAGGGATTATATCTCCAAGTTGGCCTGGGAGCGGCTTGGGGTCCCCGGGAATGAGCTGGAGGAAGTTGCGGGGGACAGGGTCACCTGGGATTCTCTGCTCTCCCAACTGCTACCGCGACCCTATCTGGACTAAGCGGTTAACGATGATGATGATGATGATGATGATGATGATTTTTGTGCCCCAGAACATAATTTAAGTCTGAAAGAGTTAAATGCTTCAGCACTATGAGACATCATTGGCTAATCACTTAACGCAACAAGCACTGGACTGCAGACTGTGAATAAAACTACCATATTCAATCAGGTTACAGGGAGACTATAAAACTCCAACATACAAAGTAAAAAATTGTCCATGTTTAAGGCAGAGCATGAAAAACAAACATGAACAGACACAATCATTTGCTTAATGCTAGCTTACTTAATGAAAATCAGTATTACGTTTAAAGTAAAAAATTTATAAATTAACATTGTTATGAAGTGAAGTTTCTAGATTAAACATTGCCATTTTTACAATGGGTTTGAACTGCTGATATGTTTATGATTTTATGACTGTGTTTTATCGACAATAAGAGTTAAATTAATACATGAGAGGTAATCCTCACTAAACGTACCAAAAAAGTTTACATCGTCCCATACACTATTTAGAACAATTCACTGTCTGTGGAGTATGCTGTAAAATGTCTTGGTTGTTTTTCTGAACCTTTGTTTTGAAGGTCAGACATCTGATTTCAACTATTTAACAGTGACTTGTGAGACCTCCAGGACCTCCCTAAACAAAATAAGTCATTTCAATAAAATTAGCTTTCAACAGAAGCAAATAACCTATTCAAACAAATGGTTACTAGTTCAAATTTAAAAGAAATTTATGAGGCAAGTAAGCAAACTCACAGTGTTTTCTCAGTGATTCTTTTCCGTACTCCATGAATTTGGTGAGCCAGTCCACACATTCTTTCTCCAGGTAACCCTTGGTGTACTGGTTCAGGATGGCCACATCATCCCATTTCCTTTTGGTTGGCTCAGCTTCTGGAACTGGAGCGATCCACCGCATGTTGTCATCATCAAAAGAGAGGAACTCTGACCCATCGTAGCTGTACTCATCAATGCCTTTTAGAAATGTTACCTGTCCATTTGACTCATCAATCTCACAGCCATGTCTCCACTGAAGAACGTGAAGGTCTGGAATTAGAGTTAATGTAACAAGACAGTGAAGATAAAGACATTAGCTGCTCAAAACCAGAGGAATCACACAGTGGAAGGAAACTTGTGATGTTTTTAAAGAAGAATAAGTGATAAATCACTAACCGGTCTGATTGTGTTTCATTCGGTCCATCAGGATCTCCACGTTGACCTTGAACCACTGCTCTTTGCTCTTGCGAGACTGGGTGCCTTTGTCCCAGTAATCTGGCTGCAGCTTCTCCTTCATCCAGTCCTGCTTAGGAATCTTAACCTGTTCCTTACTGTTGTAGTAGTCGATCTCCCGGTCATCGAGCAGACCCAGTGCTGTGAACTCATAGATCCCTGGTAGAGCGACATCTTTGGAGAGAGCGGTGTAAATGTAGTACAGAGAGTGTTGGTCTGGAAGAGAAATGGGAAAGAAGATTATTACTAATTAAAACATAATATAATTAAAAGGGCTGGCATAAACAGCTTTTTACAGGCTTTGAGTATTTGTTCAAAACAGACATATTAGCAATCACTGTTACATCTAAAAGCTTTTGTGTATGAAATGTATTGTAGTTCAGGCTAAAATATGTGTGGCTTAAAAAAGATAAAATGTCTGAATACTAAATAGAGAATCAAATACCACCGTAATGGATGAATACATCATACAGTATACAATATATACTGTATGTATATATAACAACACACTTGGCAACATAGAGACTTTAATAACGGATTAAATATACATAGAAAAAGTTTATGTATAAATGAAATATGACAAAAGTCATAAGAACTGCTCAGAAACAAGCATTATCACGTTTATCACAGCATTTTAAAACTTGCAAAAACAAATAATCAGAACCCCTTTTTTGGACTACACTATCTTTTTGTTTGGAAGAAAACAATTATGCACCCGAACATATGTACAGTACACAAAGACACATACATACATAACTATAAAGATATGAGAAATTAAACACATACAAAGACAGTTTTAATGTCTTTATTGCAAGAAAGTACATTTAACCCTATTGACCTTTACAGAAGTCACATGGATTTCACATTTGATCATATGGTGACTAAAAAGCACATGTTCACAAGTAAACGTGACATAATGTGAATGTAATTGCGTGACACATTATGAATATAATCACATGACATAATTTGAAGGATATGTGATCATATGTAATGTTATGCTCTAAAACCTGATAAGTAGCCCTGTGGTTATCAAGTGTTACACGATAACAATAACACAATCAGATAACAGCCAAGATTGCAAAGACATTTTTGTTCTAAAATGTACATTTATATAATATAAAATATATAATAACTTTTCAATACAGGTGTAGCTGCAACATTTAAATACAGCCCAAGGGCACTTATCTGAGTCATGTTATGTACTTGGCCAGTTTACTATTTTAATTCTGACTGATCTGTGTTGCAGTTTTATAGTGTAAATAACATGACTCAGCTAACTGCACTGTACTGAAATGTAGATGATGTATAGTCATATTTTCTGCAAACATCATTCAATATTTTAAAAAGGTGCAACATAATTTTTGAGCTTTACATTATATTTACGTCACGTCTTCTTCTGTGAGTTTATTGGCCAGGTGCAAGGCAGAAATCCCATTACTGCCTGACTAATGTAGAGCCGGAGTTTCCCCAGTATCTGATTACTCCAGAGCATGTAAACACACTTAACGATTACTGACAAAATCTGATTTTCTGCACTTATCTGATTAAAAATTCAATGGGCCTCATTCAATAATATCATCCTAAGTTTGTTCTTATATGTGTTTTTCAGTAAGATCCCAAGAAAAAGTCTGTGTCAGATTCATGACGTGTTCTTAAAGCGCAGAACTGTTCTCACCTTTGAGCTCTTGAGTGTGTGTAGATTCTGTTCTTACCTAGGAACAAATCCCTAAAAAGGCAAACACTGGTGAATCTTGGTGAAACCTGCGTAAGAGGGTTTTATGAAAGGGATTTCTTCTTGAGAACCGTTGGTGAATGAGGCCCAATTGAATATCAGCTAATCTGAAAACTGAATCGTCCCTAACAATTCATCTATCCCTACTTATCAGGTGATAACGTGAAAGTCCATGAAATCATACATATGAAAGGTATAAATTAATCCATCATGATGAAATTAAAAAATAAAGACGTGTAAAAAGAAAATCCTCAGCCAATGTGAGGAAAAAGACGTAAAACATAACGAGTAAAACATCCGAACAGAAACACGAGACTATTCACAAGTGAAAGTGCGACTGTTCTGTGAGGGATTCACGTGTTCAACTTGTTTAAAGTCGCATTTTAAGTTACATAACAATAAAAAAAAACTAGACATTTCCAGTTTTTTTAGGTTCTGTTCTTCACATTATTAAAATTAATGCAGCATCATTAAGAAATTCTGATATAAAAGGAGAACAGCGGGTTAACTGCTGTTTATAGGCTCTGACGGAGCTGCTGAGCCCGTTACTCAGACCGTTACTCAGCAGCTCTCTCTCTCTCTCTCTCTCTCTCTCTCTCTCTCTCTCTCTCTCTAATGTCTTCTTTCTCATATGTCCAGGTCTGTGACAGACCCAGTTAGGTTTAACACAGTTTATCTAACCGGTGCTTTAACTCCAGTCCGGATTCTGGGGGAAGGTAAAGTGAAATAAAGCAGGTAATCAGGTGATCAACAGGACCGCTGAGGATATAAATAAATACGCACAGCTGCGTATCTGAGATAGTAGGTTAGCGGTGTCGCGTTTCTGAGCGTGTAGTTTAAACGCTGGGTAGCTAAATTCAGGACAAATGAGCGAAGAGTGTCCTTTCAAAACCCCTAATATCATATTTTAACGTTAACCGTAATTGACTCTGCGTGTTTAGTCCCGTTAACGGTCCTGCTGGTAATAACACACTTTACTTTCGGTTTCGGCGATGATGGCGCAGCAAAACAGTCCGTCCGAGCTGAACTGACTCACCTCCGAGAGCAGAGACAAACACTCCACACAGAAAGACCAAACAGACTGCCGTAGCCGCCCCCATCACCACATTTTATCGCCTAGATCAGAAAGAAAATCCGCCCTGGATGACCGGATATCCTGACCGTCCTCTGGGGTAGGCGTCCGCCTGATCTGTTAGGAAAACAAAACTTAAGCTCGAGATAACGGTTCACTGCTGTGGCTCAGCCAATAGAAAAACACGATTTCACTTACGTCACTCGTTGCTGGGTAGATTTCCTCCCACCGCCTTCGCCACAAATGGCTAAGAGTCCCTTCACTCTCCGCCTTAGCAGCGGTTTAGCCGTAACGTCAGGGCTTTAATAAGCAGCTGAGCGTTAAGTTAAGCATGATTGCTCTGAAAAAACAATGATAATTCTGCCAGCTGCGCCCAAAACCACATCACTACTGTACTATACAGTAGTAATGTGTAAAGCTGCTTTGTGACAACACCTGTTGTAAAAGCGCTATATATATAAACTTTACTTACTTACTACTACTATACGCACCAGACTAGTGAATGCGTTTCTAATGGTGGTGCACTGTTTTTGGCATACCATTTAGTATAGTAGCTAGTATGCTAGTAATGCACCCTGTAAAAAAAAAAAAAATAAAAATAAAAAAAACATAAAATAAAGAAACCATTATTTCAGATGCATCTGATAGTTTCATAATCAGATCTAAATGTGTCCTCCAGGAAAGTAGTGGTCTCTTATGGTAACCATTAAGCCAATTCCCATTAGGAAACAAAACTGGTTTTAATCCTAATATTTCTAGTGGTCTTTGTTTGTTCAGTTTTGGATGCAGCTACCCAACTAAAACCAAACACTGCATTTAAAGGACATATTTTGCTTTAAGGGCATATTTTTAATATTTATTATTTATCAGTCAGTATGTTATATTGTCATACAGTTATGACCCCATGTTTGGCGCTTTGAAGTTCTTTGACTTTGATGTGAAGCGATTTTATTAAAACCAACCATGATAACAAGGTGTGCTATGATACCTAGTACCACACTGGAGGAGTCGAAAGGTTGCTTACCTTAGCTAACCTAAAAGAAAGGAAACCAAAGGTACATATGGCGTACCTTTAAAAAACACAGTGTATAGCCTCCTTAATGAAGTGAAATTCTAGAAAATAAATCTATGTATTCTCATTCAGATTTAAACTCGGGTTAATCTTTGAACAACAGTTAATAGCAGCGCAACTGCATGTGTGTGTATATATTTTTTTTTTAAATACATACATTGTTACACTCACAGCACTCACAGCATAACAGTCTTTATATTTTTATTTTGTAGAGGTTTACAGTGGAATGCTGCTCGGTGAGAGAGGAAACCCTCTGCACCAGGACCTGCTCCAAAAGGCCCACTTCACCCACAGAGGTACCATTTAACAGAAGCCCGAAAGTGCACTGCTGCACTGAACAGGCCTTCTGCATGTTAAACAAACCACTCTGTTCAGTCATCATCAGACTGTGAAGCAGCCAGCAGAGGGCAGAAACATCGTCACTTGTGCAGTATTTTATAATTTGGCGGTCGACCGGGACGAGCCTAGTGTCCCACAAGCAAGGAGCTGCACGGTTGTCCTACTTTAATACAGCAAACTGACCCTAAACTGAAGACACTGTTGGCAGTGCATTCCACACATCAGTCATTGCAAATCATTTTGAATTGTTTATCCTGGCTTTTGCACTGTTTTACTGTTTTTCTTTTTTTTCTGTGTGTGGGTCAGGGTGAAGAATAAAATGTTTGATGTGATGAGACACTTTCCCTTCTGGGTCAATAACAGTGTTAGCCTAAACACAGGTCATCTTTAGCTTCTCTGAACAATACATTCTGGAACATTCTGGAAAGCCTAATCAAGACTATAACAATTAACACCTCCTCTAATTGAGTACAGTACCTCAGTGTGTTTAATTAAGCAGTATAGCCATGAAGCCCGCAAAGCATTATAATCGAAGATTTATGGGTCTATATCTGGAATGTTAATACATCTGAGCTGAAAATGCCTTAAACCTCAGTAAAACCATGTCTTTAGCAGGCTTAAGATAAACCTGAGATACAGCGACATCTAGTGGCAGATGTGTAATTTTTAATCCACATAACTCTTTCAGATTTAAACTCGGGTTAAATTCTCAACCACATCTAGTCTTAAAAAAAGTGAAGCTGCATCATCATGTCTGTTGTACAGACTGTACAATATACTGTATTTAAAGAACACAGATGTATACGAACACAGAATATAAATGATTATAAAAACAACAAAAAAACTTTAGAACAACAGTTTTAAGAGTTTTATTGCAATAAAGTAAATTTAAATCAAAACTGAGTATAAAAGACTTCCATGATCCAGCTGTCTTTCAGATCTTAAACTGGAAAAGAATAGAACAATCCAGCAAAGACTGGAAAATGTTCTAATATCTAAAGGTCTGAAGAAATCAAGAAAGTGAATCATAAAAACATTAAAGCACCCAGAGTTAAACATAATACAGAGTAAATTGTATCAAAGCCCACTCAATAAACCCATCTAGTTTCATTCAGCTTGTTCAGCTGGGATCTTTTACTGGGATTATTTTTTTGCCGCTGCTGCTGTAAAAGGTCAGCCAGATGAGAGAAACTCAAATACTTTTTTATGAAGTGGACGGCTAACATCACTCAGTATAGAGACAGTCTTCCTGTGCAGATCGCATTCACTGTTCACCATTGTAATCTGCTGATTTAGCAATTCTAGCTGAGTACAGTTACATTTATAAGCCCTTTACAATCTCAAGTTTAAACACAATATATGATCATAATTTGTCTTACGCTTAAATGCATCTTTTTTTATTGAAGCTGGTATATTTGTGTCATTACATAACAAGTAGTTTAACACTAAAGCAGTGCTCTGAAAAAATCAGTTCATGTTTAAAACAGATGCTAGATATAAATCAATAAAAAACACAAATATATCAGAAAGGAAGTCTGCATAACCACCTATGAATATGAAAATTAGCACATTTTACCCAGGTTTGCTCATAGAGGATTCATAAAAAAGACTGAAAGAAAGAAAAAGTAATCATTTTTTTGTTTATAAATCAAAATGAATAAATCTTTGGTAAACTTTTGCTAAAAAAAAAATAACAGAAAGAAAGCACACATAACCATCAGCCTTACATATGCATTCTAATAAAATCATTAAAATTGATACACGTCACCCAGATATTGCTCTAAAAAGTTTCAAATGAAGTACAATTAATCCTTTTCTCTGTAAGAATCAAAATGCTTTGAAATTTGTTGAGTTTTCGATTAAAATAAGATCCACTGTACTACACTGGAAGACCTAATTATTCAACTGTTCTTTGATGCTTCTGAGTTTCCAAATGCTATCATTAACAGATGAGTACTGGAATGTAGTTTTTATTATGGAGAATTTCTGTTAAAGCTGCACTATGTAAGATTTTTTTGTTAAAACTGAAAGCAGTATCATTACTGACTGAGGAGAATAAAACTAGGCTAAAATAGGCCGAGCATGCGCCGCTGTGAGTCGTCCTGAGTCTGAAATAATCATTTAAAAGTCAGAGGCATCAGGTTGGGAGTTCTTTACACCACGTCGTACATCGTTACATTTTCACATCATACACACAGGCTCAAAAAAAGGCCCAGCTTGATGATTAGGTCTCAAATTATCTCAAAATCAACATTAGTTATGCTTATGAAGATATGATGACAATAGTATAACTACGTTTCCAAGAAAGTTGGGATGTTGTGCAAAATGTAAATACCAAAAGAATGCAGGGATGTGTAAATCAATTATCCCCTATATTTGATTAAAAATAGTACGACAACATGTCAAGTGTTGAAACTGAGAAATTTTATTGTTTTTTGAAAAATATATGCCCATTTTGAATTCAACGGCAGCAACACATTTAAGAAAAGTTGAGACAGGGGCCTGTTTACCACTGTTGTATCACCTCTTTTTCTAACAAGAAGTGTTTGAGAACTGAGGAGACACTGCTGTAGTTTTGAAAGTGAAATGTTTTCCTATTCTTGCTTGATATAGGATTTTAGCTGCTCAATAACTTCGTCGTATTTTTCATTTCATAATGCTCCAAATGTTATCAGTGGTGACAGGTCTGGACTGCAGGCAGGTCAGTTTAGCACTCTTAATACGAAGCAGTGCTGCTGTAGCACATGCAGAATGTCTTGCTGAAATAATCAAGGCCTTCCCTGAAAAAGACATTGTCTGGATGGCAGCATATGTTACCAAAACATGTACATATCATTCAACATTAATGGTGCCTTCACAGATAAGCCAGTCACCCATACCATGTGCACTAACCTTCTCCTCTTTAGCCCAAAGGGCGCAACATCCATGATTTCCAAAAAGAATTAAAAAATTTACAAAAAAAGGACACTTTTCCACTTTGCCTCAGTCCATCTGAGGCAAGGCGGTGCCGTTTCTGGATTTTGTTTATATATGGTTCTTTTTTGCATGATAGAGTTTTAACCTGCATTTGTGTACACAGTAACAATTTATGTTCTTAGACGATGCAGTGATTTCCACTACAGTCTGTTTTTTATCACAGTGACACTTGAGGGCCCGAGGATCATGGCTATCAGATATTGGTTTTAGAATTAAATGATTTGCACATCATTGCACTCTGTTTTTTTCACATTTTGCACAGTGTTTCTACTTTTTTAGGAAACAAGGTTGTAGATTATCCACTCATATCCTCAAAAGACACGTTCTTCACCAAGTTTTGACTGAGTTCTCTTTGAATTCTCTTGCAACCATTAGATTCATCCGCTCAGGGAAGGCGTCCCAAGAGCAACCCACATTATAAAATTACATGCTGTGTGCAATTACAGATTTCCACCAGAGGAATCCTCCAAATCCCCAAATCTTACATAGTGCGGCTTTCTCATAACAAAGATGTAAAAGTAATGATTTGATCAACAAATGGAAAAGAGTCCGTGCTGTAAGAAAATTGGGGGTATAATCCTGGATGATCTGAAGTTCAGTTCCTAGGGCTCCCTGTGAAACAGAGATTAAATCATTGTTATTTATACTCGCTACTTATTTTATTAGAAATACCTACCTTGTACTTCCACTCACTGGCCACTTTATTAGAAACACCTCTCATATATATCCACTGTGTAGGTGTTCAGTTGTAGACTACATCCATGTTTTTCTGCCCAGTTTATCAGTCCCCTCTACCCCATTTGTCACTGTATAGTTTCTGACCACAGGACTGATGTTTTCCAGATCTTATTTGGGTGGTGGTTAATTCTCACAAGTACAAGTATATCAGGTAACTCTGACATGGTAGTGTGTGTGGAGCTGGTACGAGTGTATCGGACACAGCGGTGAGTCCGACGCAATAGTGCGTGTGGAGCTGGTACGAGTGTATCGGACACAGCGGTGACTCGGACGCAATAGTGCGTGTGGAGCTGGTACGAGTGTATCGGACACAGCGGTGACTCCGACGCAATAGTGCGTGTGGAGCTGGTACGAGTGTATCGGACACAGCGGTGACTCCGACGCAATAGTGCGTGTGGAGCTGGTACGAGTGTATCGGACACAGCGGTGACTCCGACGCAATAGTGAGTGTGGAGCTGGTACGAGTGTATCGGACACAGCGGTGACTCCGACGCAATAGTGCGTGTGGAGCTGGTACGAGTGTATCGGACACAGCGGTGACTCCGACGCAATAGCGCGTGTGGAGCTGGTACGAGTGCCCTCCGCCTTAAAATATGCAGACAAGAGTGGCTTTGAGGTCAGAAACTGACCATTTATAAAGACTAGACATTGAAAAACATAAACAGCACATTACCACATAACAATATGGGCTACAGTCTCTAACTGTACATCAGCAAGGAGGAACTACAAGAAAGGAGTTTCAGATAAAGTGCACAGCGAGAGAATATAAACAGTACTGATGTTTTACAAAAAGACATATTAAGTATACATAAACTGATACTCTAAATAATCAATAATTTTATTTTGGTAATTAGCCAAATATGTTGTTAATCTGAAGCAGCTGGATGTGCATGTAACTGTAATCTGCTGTAAGTGAGATTCACAGGATCCTGACTGCTCTTTCAGTGCCAGAGGCTACATTCAACTAATATGCATAACCAGAAAGAAATGTTATAAACTACTAGTCAAAAGTTTGAGCTTGTGTTTGTTTTCATAAGAAGCTGCACCTTAAGCTGTATAGCCTTTCCTAGAACAGATTAATAGGCAATTAAATAGTGCAAGTCTTGAAATGTTACAATGTTTACACAAAGCAAGTGGATTTCAGTCTGAAGAGCAAGTCAGTTATATATAGTAATATCTGACAATATTTTTCAGATGATTTGAAGGTGAGGTGACTTCTATTATTGAAGGTGAGGTGTCTTCTGAAATGTTATTTATTGAATACCTTTACACTTCTTCCTTCGGTTGGCGCTGGATGTCCACCATCTCTTCTGTCTTGGGCAGAGGAGGGTCACGGTCAGGCAGCTCAGCATCTTCGGGAGGATGTATCGGAAGCTCCAGTGTGACCGTATCTATGATGATAAAAAAATAAAAATTAGCTATGTGTGTATTAGGCCAAAATACAACTGTGTTAGCCAGCTAGCTAACTTAACCTAGCCTACCAGCTTCCGACCGCACTCTCTCCTATCAGGAGAAGGATTTTCTCCTCTAAAGCGTCAAAATGAATGCCTGAAATGCTCCTCCTGTCTTCTTTAAGTCTCTCGCTCTCTCTGCTCCCTTTTTTCAACAATAGATTTTAAATCGGCCCATTTCTTTTTTACAGCTTCAGAATCTCTTGTAGACTGCATTACAGTGAACACTGCCTATGCTACTCTTGTCCGTCCTCATCTCTTGCTTTCCGCTGTCTCCCCATGGTTATTGTATTTTCCAAGAATGATTTTTTTCCTGTTGGCTATTTCTTCCGCCAACAAATATATTTCTTGTTTGCCAAAATTTTTTGAACGTTTAGTTTGATGTTTTTCTTCCATTTTGCTCTCCTCTGAGCAGATTAAAGTGACAGGAATAACCGTAAATTCAAATTCAAAATGTATCTCACATTGTTCATGAGAAAAGAAAGAAAACAATAAAGACTTTCTTAAGAAATTTTTAAGAAAATAATGCTGCTTCACTTTTACACAGTAGCAGCACGCAAACGCAAATGAGAGGCAGATTTTACCACTTCTCTCAAGCAGTTTGTCATAGAATTATATACAGAATACACTCCCATGTCACAAGAGTGTTCTTTGTACATGATTCTAGTAGCACACCGCAGGGGTAGGTCTGTAAAATACTGCACGTCTGAATGACACATGATTCTTCCTTTCACTTATCCGTGCTGATGAGGATCTGAATGAGGTGATAGCACTGATTGTGATCTTTGGCAGATCCTGCTAAAATCTCACATAAACCAGTGTTAAACCAGTCAAGGTTTAACACCAGCTGATACGCCGGCGGATGTTGTTATGCACACACTGCTTACAGCAAAAGTGTTCAGCACCATCTTGTGCAGTCAGCCAACTGAGTAAACTCCTGCTTTAAGGCATAGTTTTCCATAGTTTTTACACACATTCAAAAAGGCTGGTTCATTACATACAATTTAACCTTTTAGCTCATAAATACATACTTTTATATCACTATGTTTTGTTTGAAGTTCGGTTTTATTATTCGAAACATTTTAAACTCGCCAAAGAAGACTGATGTTTTAAGTCAAAGTATCATGTTATTACCAAAGTTTATTCACTAATAAATCTGTTTTAATCTCCTTTTCTCTCTCTCTCTCCCATATAGCAGTTTCGCTCCACCGGCTTTGCACTGTAACGCCTACGTGACGGGGTATGCTGACGCAGAGTATCTAATTGTTTCTCACATTACGTCGTAGTCTGAAAGGAACATTAACCTATTTTTATTTCCAGGTTAACGTAACTAGTGGGTTACAAGTGTCCAAACACTTTTGGCTATGCAGTGTAAACTGACGGTGATGGAATTAGGTTAGAGGCATTAGACTCATAAAGGGTATATATAGTGTGAAAACGTTTCTGTTTCCTTCGCTCTTGTCTATTGAAAAAAAATGTTTTTGGACGAACACTGTACGAAAAGCGTAAGTTGGATCGGTTTTAAAAGCGCAAGCGCTCAGGTGTAAGTTCTATGTTGGTGCTAAGTTTAGTGGTTCTAGGTCAAAAACTGTAAGACGAGAAACTGTTTAAATTTTGAGCATAGAATAAGAAAAAGAATATGATGAAGAAGAATTACCCAATTTCTTAGTTATTGGCTCTTCAAAGGTTCTGTGAGTCACATAACAGTCATAATCTGCTGTTTCATCCTCCTGGATCTCCATACTCTTCCTCAGCTGGTAGGTTCCGTCTTCATTGGGTCTGACTCCTGAAGATGTGAGTAGGTGTTCAGGCAGTGAAGTTCTGGACTTCCTCAGACTCACCACCATGTCTTTGGGGTAGAAGCCCGTGGCCAGGCAGGTCAGGGTCAGCTTCCTCAGGTCAGTTGCAGATTTCTTCACAAGCACATGAACAACTGGTGGAGCTAAAGAGAAAACGAATAAAAACACATTTTTTTCAGTTAGTTTTTACCAGATTTTCCCCAAAGCAATTCATAATCAATTCTCTCCAGCCGTAGCTAAGTGACTAAGTGTGAGAGCTGACAGGAGCTCCCTCTGTGACATTTATTCACACCACTCACCATCTCTGTTCAAGCTACCACTCACACAAGTGCTTCAAACAGCAGGATGCATGTGAGGGACAGTAACAGTGACCTAAATAGGAATATTTGGCTATTTGGCTATTTTTAACAGTGGAAGATGCTGCGCCATGTTGAAGCTTATAACTGAATGAATTAAACTCATACTGGACTGGTCCTGCTTTTCACGACCAGCATGCATGGGCTCAGAAACAGCTACTAAAGAGTAATTATGAGCCATCATTAACATTTAATTCTTCAACATTAATGTTTGTCTTTAGAAAAGAAATATAAGCTGTGTCCCAACTCAGAAGCTGCATCCTTCAAAGGACACAATCTATGAAGGCGTGTCTTAAAAACAAAAAGTTTAAATAGTTTCTAATCACTCGCCCAGAACTTTTCTTTCATTTTAGAAAGTAAAAGGATGTATTTCACTAAAAAAGCAAAGAAAAGTTTCCTTTTTACTACAGTAAATGGGCTTCGGACAGCAGGATGCTAACGTTACTGCTACTGAGTGCTGATTGGTTAGCATTACTGCTACTGAGCACTGATCAGTTAGCATTACTGCTACTGAGTGCTGATTGGTTAGCATTACTGCTACTGAGTGCTGATTTGTTGGCGAGCAGAGCAGCTCATGGACGTACACGAGGCATCGTTTTAAACTTCTATAACTAAAGTTCAAAAGTGCTCCGAAATGTAACAGCAGTGTTAAAATGTTTTATGCCGTTCTGTGTTCAGTGGATTTCCTGTTTGCATCACAGCATCGCTGTTCCCATCGTTACCGCTGCGTCACGATTCGCTGCTCCTTAAAAGTTCCTTAAAACTTTTTTAAAGATGAAGCCAGAAACTTTCATCTTAGTTTTTTTATTTATTCATTTATTAGAGCTGGAGACGCTCCTCTCTGTTGGCTCCTTGCTCCCTAAGACAAAACGTTAGCATAAGTTTTGCTTCAGACCACATTTCTCTTTTTTTAACATTTGTACCGTCAGCTATTCAACTCAGTTTAAACCCAGTATTTACATTTAAAAGTGTACTCTTCAACCACTGTTCGCTCCTCTGCTGAGAAGCGTATTCCTGTAGGCTGGGAGGGGGAGGGTCAAACTCCAAATGGGTGGGCTGTAACTCCAAGTGAGAGGGGTGTTGAGAAGTTTGTTGGGATTTCTGTGCTGCAGATTCTGTGTTCCTACTGGCTGGTTGTAAAACAGAATTATGTTGCTGATAATTTTTAAATCGTTTGTGCGTTAAATATATGCACATATCATGATTGTCTATTTAATTTTTAAAATAATCTAAAATGTAAAGTAGTTCAATGGGCTAGATCCAAGTTTGATCCACAGCCTAATGTAATTCTTTCCCCTTACGATTTTAGGTTAAAATGTCTAAAAGTCAATTGGATATGCATTTGTGTGAATAATGAAATGACTTATTCTGCCAGAGCTTTAGCTCTTTTATATCGACCGAACCTAAAGGTGATCTGTGCAGATTTGCTTTTTTCAGATAAAAATGAAGTAAAATCAATTAATGATTATAGATGGGCGTCTGAGCTGCGTGGTTCTTGAACCAATGAATGTCAGCAATACTGATATTTGCTTATATTCTCATGCATTCATCAGAAACAACCAACCATTTTCATATCATTTCATTAAATTAATCGTTCAGCCTCAGTCAACAAAGAACTCATGAGATCATGTTTTTTGTGTTCATGGTGCCACCCTACTTCTCACCCAAACAAGTTTTTAATTTTGTTGGTTGTAAGATCACACTTAAGCTGGAAAAAATCAGACATCGCTCATTTTTACATCAGAAAATACTTTCAGCCATGATGGTCCATATAAAACTGTTTATATTGTGGTGTCAGGTCACGTCTGAGTTTAGTTATTCAGTTCTGTAGCTTTCATTCAGCCCTAGTTCTGGGTGCTCTGTATTTTTAGGAGAGCAGTGAGAGCTAAGCTACACTCTTATAATGATGGTTCTTCAATGGTTCTTTAGTAAAAATTGTTCTATGTAGAACCATGAACACTCAGAGAACGTTTTGCATAATGAAATGGTTCTCTGCACTGTGAAAGGGTTCTTCAGATTGATGGAGAATGTGTTGTATATGATTCTATACAGAACACTTGTAAAAGGGTTCTATATAGCATCAAAATGTTTTCTGTTATTGCCGTGATGTCAAGCTTGCAATAATGGAAGAACCCTTTTTGGTGCTCTACAGAACATTTTTCTTTACTGAAGATCCCTTGAAGAACCATCATTTTAAGCGTGTAGCCTGAGGATGGTATATATAACTTTTCTGTGCGCTGTTCTGTACTGAGTTTAGTAAAGCCAGGTTATGGACTTGGAACTGAGTTTCTCCTGAGACCACCCGATATTAAAAGGTAAACATTTCATAACACTGACATAAGCACTGAGTTTTAAACAAGTCGAATACAAATCATCGTAAAGAGAGCTGGACCCGCTACAGTCAAGTCTGTTTGTATGGACACATTTCTCGGCCGCGTATGAAGGAGCCTTCAAAATGGGACAGTCTAGTCGCACCGCTGTGACGCAGTCAGCCTTCAAATGCAGTCTCTGAAGGATGCAGCCCAACTACTGTGTCATATTATTGTGCCCTGGAACGTAATTTGAGTCTGAAAGAGTTAAATGCGGTACTATGAAACATCATTGGCTAATCACTGAACACAACAAACACTGGACTGTAGACTGTGAATCAATCTATATACCATATTACAGAGAAACTATAAAACTCCAACATGCAAAATAAAGAATGTTTCCTGAATGTTTGTTACAATCTTTAATTGTAATAGTATCTAATAAAGTGAATTAAAAGTGTTTCTGGATTAAAAAAGTTTCTGGATTAAGCATTGCTATTTTTATGGTGTGTGAACTGCAGGCACATTTATGATTTTATGACTATGCTTTACAGACATTAAGTGTTAAATTAATGCATGTAAGGTATTCACCACTGAAATGTCCCAAAAAGGTTTAAATATCACCCCATATGCCATTTTATTATCACTATCTCTGGGAATTTTTTTAAAAGTGTTGGCTGTTTTTTTTGAACGTTTGTTTTGAAGGCTGGACAGCTGATCGAGACTACTTAACAGAGACTAGTGACACTCTGAGATCTCCCTAAACCACAGAAGTCATTTCAATAAAATCAGCTTTTAATAAAAGTAAATAACCCAGTCAAACAAAGCAAATTAAACCACCATTTTCCTGAGGTTACTAGTTCAAACGTAAAGGGATTTTAAAAAGGACTCACACAGTGAATAAGGGAACTTACAAGGTTTTTTCAGTGACTCTTTTTCATACTCCAAGAATTTGGTGAGCCAGTCCACACATTCTTTCTCCAGGTAACCCTTGGTGTACTGGTTCAGGATGGGCACATCATCCCATTTCTTTTTGGTTGGCAAAGCTTCTGGAACTGAAGCGATCCACTGCATGGTTTCAGTATCAAAGGAGAGGAAATCTGAGCCGTCATACCCGTACTCACTGACGCCTTTCAGAAATGTTGGTTGTCCATTTGACTCATCAATCTCACAGCCATGTCTCCACTGAAGAACGTGAAGGTCTGAAATGAAGGTAATTTAATAAGACAGTGAAGGAAAAACACCAGCTGGCACAAAACCAGGGAAATCATGCAGTGGATGGAAACTTGTAATACTGTAGTGTCACGCTACTGGCTGGCACGGCTGTAGAGACTCTGGACGCAAAAGCTCATTTACAAAGAAGTACAATGGGACCTCTCGTTGTTAATGTTGTCAGTTTAAGTTAAGTATATGTGGGGGTGTGGGTGTTTGTGTGTAAGGGGGGGGTCATTGTGAGATGGAAGCCTATGGCTTGTGGTGACCTCCCCCTTTGTAGGTGCCTTTCTGATGGTCTCTCAATAAAAGAGCACTACTCGCAGCAGAATCCTGGTCTTACCTGTGTCTTCATCTACGCTGATGCTACTATATATTTTTTAAAGAAGAATGAGTGACAGATCACTAACCGGTCTGATTGTGTCTCATTCGCTGCATCAGGATGTCCACGTTGACCTTGAACCACTGCTCTTTGCTCTTGCGAGACTGGGTGCCTTTATCCCAGTAATCTGGCTGCAGCTTCTCCTTCATCCAGTCCTGCTTAGGAACCTTAACCTGGTCCTTACTGTTGTAGTAGTCGATCTCCCGGTCATCGAGCAGACCCAGTCCTGTGAACTCATAGATCCCTGGCAGATCGAGATCTTTGCTGAGGGCGGTGTAAATGTAGTACAGAGAGTGTTTATCTGGAGGGGACGTGGAAAAAAAGGTGTAAGAAAACTAACTGATAAATGAAACGGTTATACTCTAAAACACAAATCTCCCAGCCTTTTATGTTGCAGGCAGTGTAAATGTAGTGCAGACAGTGTTCATCTCAAAGGGAAAAGGAAAAGAAGGTATAAAGTCTGAGTAAAATAATGATATAATGATATACAATGAATAGGGCTGGCATATACAGCATGTTACAGGCTTTGAATATTTCTTGGTATTTGTGAACGAGTAACCTGAACACTCGTCTTCAAAACTTCCCTTAAAAGCAATAGTTACATTTCATAATTGAGAGTCTGTGCACAGTTGCTTGCTCTTTACTCATGTCATGCTAATATATCACATCTGTCTACTTATTTCAGATGATTCATCAAACTCGTTTTGCAAACAACCTCTTATCACGAATTTTGCACTGAGCATTTTTGTTATTGTCCAATAAATTGAACGTCTCCTGCCTGTGATTTATCAGATATTCTGCTCTCTTAGCTTCAGTGGTCGTGTGAAAAGTGGTGCAGTTGACTGCGCTCGGAGGCCAGGTGACGTGATTGCCTGGCAATGTTATTCTTAACATATCTAAAGGCTTTTGCTGATGAAATTTATTGTAGTATAGGCTACAATTTTTGTGAATTAAGAAAGGATAAAACTTCTGAATACTAAATACAGAACTGAATACCAACATAATGAATGAATTCTTGAGTTTTAACATTTTTTGGGCATAGTCTAAAATTTGAATAAAAAGACTTGAAAATGAAAAAATGAAAAAGGATGCATTTTACAGAGTCTCATTTCTACTAGCACTAACAGCACACTTCATAAAAAAGAGTAAAGATTTTAATAATGGATTAAATCGATATAGATAAAGCATACATGCATACTGTAAATCAAGAGCACACAAATATATATGACTACAAAAATATAAGATGATAAGCACATAAATTTGATCATCTAACAATTTTAACATTTTAACATCTTTATTGCAAGAAAGTAAACGTGGGTACTTGTGACATACTATAAATAAGCTCATAATGTAAAGTGAAAGTAATCGTGACCTAATGTGCATGTAATCACCTGACGAGTGATTGTGATCATGTGACATATTGTGAATATGTAAAATAATGTGCAAGGAATCACATGGCAGTGTGAATGTAATTACATGTGATGTGAATGTGATCACGTGGCATAATGTGAAAGTAATCACGTGACATGATATGAATATGATCACGTGACATTTTAATATGATGTCATGTGATCATATTCATATCTTAACACTTAACATTATCATATCATATTCATAATACTTCACATTAAGTGCACCTGTGGTACTGTTTTTGTGTGTTATGTGATTACAAGAGATGCACAGAAATCAAGAGTTGGCCAAGATTGAAATAAGATTTTGTTCTTAACATGTAAACTGCAAATTTTATTTTAATTCTGGCTGATCTTTGTAGTTTTATATTGTAAATTACCTGAGTCAGGTAAGCTGTAGTTGAATGCTGCAGCTACACCTGTACTGAAATGTCATACCGTATTTATACACGACTCATTGTGGTTAATAGCCAGTTGCCTCTTTCATTGGAGCCCTTTATTTGATTATTGCTATTTAAATAAACCTTTGATTTTTTAATTTAAAATTTCAGCTTGATCCATTAAAGAGCAGACAATGTTATTAAACATCGTCTGCTCTTTAATGGATCAAGCTGAAATTTTCAACTAATAAACATCAACTAATAAATATCAGCCATGAGCCAATCTGGCTGAAAAGAAATCTGAATCGGCCACAACAGTTCATCATCAGCGCATCCCTATTGATTACATGTGATAACGTAGAAATCCAGGAAATCACACACGTGAAAACTGAACAGTTAATGAATCATGATGAAATAAAAGATAAAACGTGTAATTAGAAAAACAAAAAACAGCCCACCTGTAGACAATGGTGTAGAAAAAACGAGTGAAGCGTGATTATTCATCAGCGATAGTGATTTTCTGTAAGGGACTCACGAGTTTAACTCGTAAAACGTAAAATCACGTGTTTAACGTAAACTCGCATTTTAAAGAACCCAACAGTAAAACACAAAACATTTCCAGCTTTGTTAGATTCTGTTCTTTACATATCAGAATTAATGCAGCAGCATCACTGAGAAATGACGTCATTACAGGACAGGGGATAAACTGCTGTGAGGGACCATAAAGCTCTCTCTCTCTCTTTATCTCTCTCTCTATCACTCTCTCTCTATATCTCTTTATCACTCTCTCAATCACTCTCACTCTCTCTCTCTTTCTCTCTATCTCTCTCTCTATCACTCTCTTTCTCTCTCTCTCTATCTCTCTCACTCTCTCTCTCTCGCTCTATCTCTCTCTCTCTCTCTCAAATGTCTTCTTTCTCATATGTCCAGGTCTGTGAGGGACCCAGTTAGGTTTAACACAGTTTATCTAGCAGATGCTTTAACTCCAGTCCAGATAATGAAGGGGAGTCAACTAAAGTAGTTAATTAGGCATCGTGACTGTGATAAACAGCTAAATAGACAGACAGACAGACAAACAGACAAACAGATAGATAGATTCACTTTCGGTTTCGGCGATGATGGCGCAGCAAAATAGTCCGTCCAAACAGAACTGACTCACCTCCGAGAGCAGAGACGACCACTCCACTGAGGAAGACCACGCAGACTGCCGTAGCCGCCCCCATCACCACCTTTACCACCTAGATCAGTAAAATCACTCTGGATGATCTTCTGCTGAGAAGAGTCGGTTCTCCTGACTCTCCTCTCTCTTAGGCGTCACTCTGCTCCGTTAGGAAAATCAAAACTTCCAGCTCCTCATAATGTTCTCGCTGCTGTGGCCCAGCCAATAGAAAATCAGGACATCCCTTACGTCACTCGTTGCTGGGTGGATTACTTTGTTTTTTCCGCCCGTATTCGGGAGAACTCCCGCCTCCTGCGCCGTAATTGGCTAAGAGTCCCTTCACTCTCTAGCAGTCCGCCAATCAGACCGAGCGCAGGGAGGCCGTGCCTGAATACGGGCAAGAAAGAGGGAAAATAGTAAAATATCAGTAAATAATAAAAAAGTACTGTGGTTTAAGGCCGAGCCCGAGCTGCACTTCGCCGAGAACTATCGGGGCTATGGCTCTGATATTAGCTTAGCAGCAGTTTAGTCTCAGTTTTTATTTCCCAACAGTGTCTTTATTGATTTTAACAACTTAGCATATACATATACACATACATACCAAGCATATTTATATCCAAACGCACAGAATTACACGGCACATGAACAAAATCCCAGTAAAATAACTAACCCCCCCTCCAAAAAATCTCATTAGTACGGTACAAATGACAAATTTGGACGCTGCAGAGTTATTTGCATATTCCCAGACACTTCCATCATATGGACTAAATCTGTCCTCTCAGAAAACATTTGAAAGGACCCCACATGCTGAGAGAGTGATTGATCACCCCTGATAGAACTGGTCATTTTTCGTAAGGCAGAATCATAGATAATTTATAAATCCATTTACCCACACTCAGCCTGTCAGTCCTTTTCCATGACAGAGCAACAACTCTTTTAGCAAATAAAACACTTATTTCTAAAAATCTGTTCTCTCCATCTAATGTTATGACCAGCTGTATATAAGGCTAGTATGAAAAGCTTTGGGTCTAGAGGTATTTGTATGGATAATGTGTCCCGGACACTCTCTCTCACGTCTTCCCATAGCTTTTTATTTGAGTTATATATATATACGTCTATAGCTGACATCCTGTATTTATTACATACTGTATTTATTAGGCTTTTCTGGGGTTATATATGTTAACTGCAGTTGTAACCTACATTTTAACAATTTTGATTACGTGTTATGTTTCAGCTGTGCACATATCATCAGTTACTTAGTAACAAGCATGACAGTTGTTTCCTAAATTAATACCATATTTGCTTCTTTAATACGAATTTGTGAAAAATCTTATACATCAATAAATGCAAGATTGCAAAAATACAGTTAAGATAATATAAGATATTCCCTTAGTCCCACACTGGGGAAATTCACAGTGCTACAGCAGCAAAGCGATAGCAAACTTATTTCTAAAGGGAGTACACTGTTTGTGACATAGCATTTAGTGTGGGAGTAATGCAGTGTTGGATGCAGCTACCTGAGTGTGTTGTGCTGGTACGAGTGGATCAGACACAGCAGTGCTGCTGGAGGTTTTAAACACCTCAGTGTCACTGCTGGACTGAGAATAGTCCACCAACCAAAAACATCCAGCCAACAGCGCCCTGTGGGCAGCATCCTGTGACCACTGATGAAGGACTAGAGGATGACCAACACAAACTGTGCAGCAGCAGATGAGCTATCGTCTCTGACTTTACATCTACAAGGTGGACTGACAAGGTAGGAGTGTCTAATAGAGTGGACAGTGAGTGGACACAGTGTTTAAAAACAGAATAGGATAGGACAGAATAAAATAGATAAAATAAAACAGCACAGAATGGAAGAGAACAGAACAAAATGGGACAGAATATAATAAAAACAGATCAGAATAGAATCGAATACAATAAAATATAATAAAATAGAACAGAATACAACAAAACAGAACAGTGCAACCAAAACTGGAAAATGTTCTAACATCCACAGTTTACAAGCAATCAAAAATGTGATCATTAAAACATTAAAAAGCATTCAGTGCTAAATAATCAACCAATCAATCAATCAAACCTTTATTTCGACTCAGAACTGCATTGTCCCTCATTTACAATGTAGCCGAGCAATTTAAACAGGGATTGAAAAAAAGTTAAGATGAAGTTTATCAACCAAAACAAATCAAAATCAGCAAGAAGATTTCTATAGAATTACAAGTATCAGATAACAAGCAAGCATAAATAGCAACACAATACATAAAGAAAACACTTTACAAGTAAATAAAAGAACCAATTAAGATAAAGTAACAAGAAAACTAAAAATCTTAGAAATAAAGTTATTTACTAGGATAGAACAGTAAACGAAATAATAACAAACAGCAAAAAACAGTTGCAATAAAACAGTGAGATTAAATGAAGAATAATAAAATTCAAATAAAAAGGAGGGAGGAAAAGTTAAACTCAGCTAAAACAGTTACAGTCTGAAGGAGTTGGAGACTAAAGACTAAAATGATTGAGGGACAGCAGCGAGCGAGTTTTAGAGACTCCGGTAGTGAAGTCCAGCTCCCTGATGCTCTGAGATAAAAACAGAGTCTTTTCCCAGTTCAGTAAAAACCCTCAGTACCTGACAGGTGATCCAGTCACCACAGTGGGTCTGATAATTACTGAGATCATAGATGAGATATAAAGCTGCCATATGGTATATGTCAATACGTATAAACACAGAGTAAACTGTATTAAAGGTCCCCCAATAAAGCCATCTAGTCTGGTTCAGCTTAAATCTTTTACTGAGATTATTTTTTCCACTGCTGCTCTAAAAGGTCGTCCAGATGAGAGAGACTCAAATACTAACATCACTCAGTATAGAGACAGTCTTCCTGTGCAGACTGTATTCACTGTTTACCATATTAATCTGCTGATTTAACAGTTCTAGCTAACAGCTTCCTGCACTGTACAGTGGTGTTAAACACTAATGTGTTCTCTACAGACACAGTCTCACTGTAAACAGTCCATACTGAACACAGACCATTTAACATTCCTGAGTACAGTTACATTACAGTAAGTCTGCATAACTGCCTTTAAGCGTGTTTTTATGAGCTTAAGAAAAAGAAAAAGATATTTATAAACCAATCAATAAATCTAGTGAGCCTTTGCTAAAAAAAGAAAGAAACAACCATCTGCCTATAAATGCATTCTCATAAACTTATTAAAATTAATACGCCTTACCCAGATATTGCTTTAAAAGGATGCAATCAAGGATGATTAATCCTTTTCTATTTAGAAATGAAAATGTTTCCATCTTTGTTGAGCTTTTGTCTAAAATAAGATCCACTGTACTACACTGGAAGGACTAAATATTCACTTGTTCTTTGATGCTTCTGAGCTTCTAAACTGTATGTATTATTAACAGATGAGTACTGGAATGTAGTTTTTATTATGGATGATTTCTGTTAAAGCTGCACTATGTAAGATTTTTTATTAAAACTGAAAGCAGTATCATTACTGACTGAGGAGAATAAAATTAGGCTAAAATATGTTAAGCGTGCGCCACTGAGTGAAATAATCTGAAGTAATCATTTAAAAGTCAGAGGCATCAGGTTGGGAGTTCTTCACACCACGTCGTAAGTCTTTACATATTCATACATATGATCATATGTCATAATTAACATCATATGCACAGGCTCAAAAAGAAAGCCCTGCTCACTGTTAGGTCTCAAATTATCTCAAAATCAATGCAATCATCAGATTCACCTGCTCAGGAAAGGGGTTACACATTTCCACCAGAGAGGTCTCCACATCCCCAAATCTTACATAGTGCAGCTTTAACGTAACAGTGATGTAAAAGTACTGACCTAATAAATGAATGGAAAAGAGTCTGTGCTGTGAGAAAGTCAGGGTTATAATCCTGGATAATCTGGAGTTGGAATTCAATTCCTGGAGTTCCCTGTGAAACAGAGGTTAAATCATTGTTATGTACTATTGCCGTCCACTTTATTAGAAACACCCACCTTGTGCTTCCACTCACTGTGAGCAGCAGGTCTGGACTGCTGTGCAAAGAACTCTGTACATTAATTTGAAATATCCATATTCTCCTATAAGTCTTATGCTCTTTCAGTGCCACAGGCTATATTCAGCCTGTATGCATAGCCAGAAAGAAATGTGATGAAACTACCAGTCAAACCTTTGAGCTTGTGTTTTTCATTAGAAGCTACACTTTACTATATAGGCTTCTCTGTAATAGATTAATAGGCAATTTAATAATGTTACAATGTTTATACAAAGCTATGGATTTCAGTCTGAAGAGCAGGTCAGTTAAACATCTGAAGATTTTTTATCAGATTTATCAGGTGATTTGAAGAATTTATTCAGGCACAATGTGGTGATTTTGAGTAATTCAACAGTATATTTTTATATTTTCAGAGAAAACATGTTTCAGTTTGTATGTTTCATCATAGTTTTCTGTAACTCTTCCATGATGTAACACATTGTGAGCTATTAAAAAAGGCTGTTTATTGCAGTAAGTGCTAAATGTACACATTTCTGTCTAATCCTCCTCGCCCCTTTCAGTAAGCCTTTTATGGTTTTGCATTTAAACGGTATATTTGTATTTGTACTGCACGGGTTTAAAATGTAAACTACTTACAATAATTTGTCCTTCTGAAATACAGACCATCTGCCTGCAAAGCCCTGCAATACAGAGCTCTGTAGGATCTTCCAGAAATCAATTTTCTAGAGTTTTTCAAAAACCATTTTATTATTTTAGACCACAAATCATAGCTATTTTTCAACTGAACTCTGACTGGGAATAAAATACATACAACAACAACACGTCCAACAGTAAACAAAGCCTTATGCATATTTTATGATAGTTTTGAAAAGAATTTGGCCTAAAATATTTTTAAACCTATACAGTTCAAAGACATACATCCAGGGCGTTGTGGGGCAAAATAGTAAAGAAATCTGTAAAGACATCTGAGTCTCTGTAGTTAACCATTTCACACCAAAATTCTCTGAATTACTCTGGTTACATCACAAACACTGAATTATGGAGGAATTGTGAAAAATTCCCATTTAAGCACCTATTTTTGTAGATGTGGCATATTATTCTGGGATGTCCTTTCACTTTTAATAAAAAACAGTAACAACCTTTTTACAATTTGAGTAAATCAAAATAATACAAACACAATATACAGACAG